CACACACACACACACACACACACACACACACACACACACACACACACACACACACACACACACAAATACACTACGAGTTCATTGACTTCTACAATGAGTTGTAATAATAAGTGAATAAAATAGCCAGTAAATTCTCCCCTACAGGCCAGGGACACGATTATCACTAACTCAGGTTGTTTCTCTGATGGCCCATGATGCGGTAGCTGGTGATATCATAGCCAGATTGTCCACCATACTGTAAGGAATCTTACTAGATTTACTTATTTTTTTATTACAGATTTACTCTTTACTCGATTACTTTATTTATTACTCTTTTTTTATTTATTTACACACGTAGCATATCGAATAGCGGTCCTGTTTCTATGAAGAACGATTAATTAATTAATAACTAAATCGGAATTACTTTCTTCTGTTCGCGGCGTTTGAATGCAGATGTCGCCACCGTCGCATTGCAGTTCTGCTGGCAGCAGATCGGAGAGATTGCGTCCGGCGAGCGCTGGTGGCGACGCACAGCGGCCGAGATCGCTGCCCTCGTCCCAGCTTCTCTCTAGCAGCCATCGCAAGCAGCAATCACACTGCAGCTCGTTATCTGAGCATTCAATGAAAACAAGTGTCGTCAGACGAAGTTTCAGGACTACAAACCGTCGTCAACGCGGGCCGCTTACAATGTGTTATCGTCTGCACCGAGGCTCCGTGGCCTTGACGAAAAGAAACGCACCGGTTATTGTCGATTTAATGTCTGGGGGCTGTTCTCGGAAATATCGTAAGCAGTTATGACGTCATACTTTACCATCTAATTATTCTAATATAACCCCACCATCTACCCTCACCCCACCATCTACTAACCCCACCATCTACCCTAACCCTACCATCTACTAACCCCATCATCTACCCTAACCCCACCAACTACCCTAACCTCACCATCTACCCTACCCCCACCATCTACCCTATCCCCATCATCTACCCTAACCCCACCATCTACCCTAACCCCACCACACACACACACACACACACACACACACACACACACACACACACATGCGACGATGCGTGCGTTCGTACCTGACAAGCGATGGCCGATGTATAGATGAGTCGATCACCAGACAACACAACCGTCCGCGTCGACGAGCAAGAGGAACCAGACGACAAACGACAACTCGACGCGCCCCGTACGTTTTTATGCGACGCGCCGTCGCACGTGACACAGATTCCGTGCTGCTTTCACTGTCGCCGCTAGCGAAGCGACGCCAGTGACGCAGGACGACGATGACGACGGCGACGACAGCCGAGGAGCGATAAATCCATAACACCATAAATTCGCACGCACGCACGCACGCACGCACGCACGCACGCACGTGTTTCGGCCGTCGTTCTATTTAATCGTAGCGACGACAGTGACGTACCGCAGAATCGCCGCAAGCGACGACGACAACAACGATGACAGCTTCGAGCGCGTTTATCAAAATGTTTCGACGACGGGAGAACTTGCGACGATTGCGGCGACGACGACTGTCACAATGTTTTTTTCTCTCGGAGCAGCGATTGTGTTAGTACAACAATGATAGCGGCTTCTCTCGCTCTCTCTGGCGTCTCTCTTTACCCTAATGTTTTTTTAAGAGCCCGCGTTCGGGCGCGTACAAGTGTATGTGTGTATGCACATCCGCGTCCCGATTGCATTTAGCGTCCACTGATCACCTTGAAACGGCGGGTGTGTTTTTTCGCAGGTGAATGAGCAACTGAGTAACGGAAAACAACTCAATTCTCGTTTGTATTGAGCTGAGGACACATCAATAGACACTAGAAGCATTTTACCCGGACGTGACCAATAATCTTCGACGACACAAAAAGACGAACAACAGCAAGGTAGACGCACTGGTCCATCATTAGATCGCTATTAAGTTTCTTAAGTATTTCAGAAGGACAACGAGAAACAGACAAACAAAACAAAAACGAGAACAAACGGTGGCTTAAATTTATATATACAAATCAGCTACAAACAGACGCGCAATCCTCGCAAGTTCAGTGGCGAATGTAGGTCATCCACTACTAGCCGAAGCTACGTATATAGTAAGTGCAGTCGGATATGCAGCATTCGTTGTCTCCAGGAAGATCGAACAGTGTATGCAAACTACAAAGTAGTCCCCACCAGCATCTAAAGAAACATCGGTCGCATACTGCGCTGACAATAGCCGCAATCAAATACAGGTGTAGTCATCAATTGCCTCGTCTTTCGGGACAACCGTGGGAGAAAATCTTTTGATATGTACACGCACACACACACTCACACACACACACACACACACACACACACACACACACACACACACACACACACACACACACACACACACACACACACACACACCCCACCACTCACTAACCCACCATCTACAACCCACCACTACCCCAACCCCACCCACCTAAACCCCACCATCACACTAAACCCACTACCCACCCACCATCACACGAACCACCATCTACCCTAACCCCCACCATCCTATCCGAGCGCGTCGCGAGCGCGAGTCACCCTAACTCCACATGCTACAACCCCACCATCTACTAACCTCACCATCTACCCTAAAACCCACCACCACCCACCCCACCATCTACTAACCCACCAATCCTACCTCCTAACCCCACCATTCCACCCTAACCCCACCATCTACCCTATACCCTAACTCCACCATCTACTAACCCAGCCATCCACCCTAACCCACCATCTACCCAACCCCACCATCCACCCTTAACCCCACCATCTATCCTAACCCTAACCACCAATCTACTAACCCACCATCTCCCTAACCCCACCTCCACCCTAACCCCCACCATCTACCCTAACCTAACTCCACCATTCTACTAACCCAACCATCCACCCTAACCCCACCACTTCACCTAACCACACCAGCCACCCTAATCCCCACCATCTATCTCTAACCCTAACTCCGACCACTTACTAACCCCACCACCATCCCTAAACCCCACCCATCTACCCTAACCCCACATCCACCCTAAACCCCACCAATCTATCCTAACCCTTAAACTCCACCATCTACTAACCACCATCCCCACGCCAACCCCACCATCTCCCTAACCCCACCATCTATCTAACTCCTAACCCA